TGTTGGGAACGCACCGATAGACTATATCCGTTTTTTTGCAGTTGGGACATTCGTCATTTTGTCAAAGTACGGTTGGACATTCGTCATTTTGTCAAAGTACGGTTGGACTTTCGTCATTTTGTCAAAGTACGGCGGACTTTCGTCATTTTGTCAAAGTACAGCTGGACTTTCGTCATTTCGAAGTATTTTCCTGCGCCGAATCTAGAAGAGATATCGATACATGCTTTTCACCAGGCGATAGTAAATCAAAAGTTCTATAACGCAGCCAAAAATCTCATTTTATCAAAATTTTGGACATTCGTCACTATGTCAAAGTATCAGTGATTTAACGGCAAGATTTGAAAGTTTGAAACGATTGCAGTATAACATTGTAACCTAGAAAGACTTACCACAGGCATCATGAAACTCTTCTTCTTCTTCTCCGTCTGACACAGGCCACTCTAATTGATGAAATTGAGATGGAGTGACATCCTTGGTGAAAAACTGGGGGTCTGACTGAGACACGTTTAGCAATGTTGAGGTAGTTGAGGTTGTACTCTGGTTTTGTTTTGAGTTGGCTGTTGACCTGTGAAATGGATAAAAACAAATAAATACAACAAAATTGTGCCTGATACAAGAAAATTCTCTTGAGTTTCGAACACACTTACGTGCTTGAGCCGACTGTGGCAATTGGTACGGATACACCGTTGTTGCCAAGAACTTGTTCACACGCCTTGGGTTTAAGTTGTCCAAGTTCAGTCGTCGGCGACTCCTTCGAGCGGCCTTTATGGGTGGGCCATTGCACAGCTCATCACTGAGGACAAAATTTACAATGATATGTCGTTAATAATGGAACCCTATCCAATATTGAAACGAAGAAAAGTGTGCTATGGTAGAGAACATAACCTCAACAAGTAAACAACTCACCCTCCTTCGCTCCCATCCATCACGACCGCAACCTTCGTCCTGGCCCCCTGGCACAGGTTGAACTCTGTACCCAACTGAGAATAAATTTCATTTACAGCGGAGTTTTGCGCAATACAAGTCCTTTTCTTTCAAATAATTTACGTTTCACAAGCCGCACAAGCCGCTCGAACGGCGCCAGCGCCGGCCCGGGTTTCGGGGTTTAGGCTTTCGGCTCTCGGCAGTTTTAGGACCGGATTGTGACGTCACGGCCAGCCCCGCATTATAGTGACCAACATAAAAACTGAAAAAGCAGTAATGATTGCTTTGCAGCCTAACTGATAAGTACTAGTTTTTAAAGGTTACGCGTTTCTTTAATTTTAATTCGCACGGCAACAACATTTTTATCGTACAAAAGTGAGTGCATAAGTATTTTTTCTCGTTAAAGTGTAAAATTTTTTATGTTTGAAGTTGGTACACTGCTTGTCAAACTGCTCTCCCGGCTGGAATTGTCATTCAGTTTGGATCAGCCGGAGACGGCTGACCAGCTGACCGCCGTCATACCCCACGTGTTTCATCTCCCCAGTTTGTTTACTTTGGTTGTTTGTAAACAAACAAACAATGGCCTTTGTGCTAGTATTTTGGGCCAACCCACCTAGTAGCAGCGTAGTTAACAAAACGGAAATTGTTGGGTCTCCAATTATTGAGGAGGGGCAGGAGAGACTGGTTAAATGGCGAGGAAAACAACTACTAGCACGAATTATAAGAACTGGTGAGTAAGGTGACAGCAGAAGCTACATTAACTATACATTTTTATCATGTTACATGAATTTTAAAAAATTGTTTTAAGAAGGAAGAAAGATCTCATAGGTATTGAATTAACTAAGGACGGTGACATTGTAGATCCTAATGTCGGTCCACAATCCGAGCCGGTGCAGAGGAGGGAAATTTTATTAGACGAGAGGAGGCGCCAGAATGTGACACACCGCACTGCGGTGATGGCAGCCCGAGACCATTTCCTCTACAGGCTGACTTGTAAGTCTATTTATGTAAAAACATGCTACCAAATCAAACACATTTGTATCCAACGTGTCTCCGCCTGAGCTATCCAGGAGCCACTCTGGAGACACTTTTTTTTGTACGGGATCTTTAAAGCGATACAATTATGTGTAGTCAACAAAGTGCCGAGCGCAGAAGTTTGCTTTCCACGTAGGATTGTGCGAATCAAGGATTTTCGAATCGAGTAAAAACCCAACTTTACATTATTTTTCAACACAAATTCATATGAAAAAAAAAGATTCAACGTGTTCATCCATTTCAGGGCGTATAATCGTTTATGTCAATTCCTTGGTTCGAAGACGAATCTCCCGATATACAAACTTTGAAATAAAACGAAGTCGAACTCGTCAAATCTGAATCGATCTTGCCTGGTTCAATTCGGCTCGAGGCCAAATTATTCGCACATTCCTGCTACATGAAGGCGATAAAAAGGTGTCGCTAATAATTCTGTCCCTTTAAAATGATAACAATCCCATCACAAATTGACGACATTTTCATCGAAGCTCATCTTCTTGTTGCATGGGCATGACAACAATATCATCAATATTTGCAAAGGCGGTTACCATGGCTGGACGGCCGTTTAAATGTGCTCTCTGCAATAACTCGATTTTTCCAAGTTTAGAAGTTGCTTTAGAATGAGGCAAGTGCAAGAAACGTGTTCACTACGAGTGCTTCGCCAACCTTGATCTTTCGGAGGACCAAAATGCCCCGAAAAACTGTTCTTAATGTGATAGTCTCCTGGTGACGGTTCCGGTAACCTCACTTTTACGTGGTTACAGAAGTGACAGTCAAGACTTCTACTCCCCTACTGGCTCTAAGGACAGCTGTTCTAATGAAAACTGCAAGAGGAAAATTCTTCTTTCAATGGTAGTGTGTTCTGTTCCTCGAGCAGTATAAGATGGATCCGCATTACCAACAGTAGCTACAAATGGTGCATCAAGATTTGCATCTCCTTCAAATATGTTTCTCATGGTATTAAAGAACCTCCACTTGCTAGGGGCTGTACCAGTGCCTCGTTGACCATCAAACTCTTTAAAGAATTCTTGTTTCAACTCACTCATTTCTCTTTGACATTGCTTCCCTGTCAACTCCAGACTAGTGAACTGGTTCATGATTGATGCCATGTGGGCATAAAGAATGCTGTGCCTAACATGACTCTTGCTTCCATCAAACTTTTCTTTCATGAGCTTATAGCAGTCAAGAAGTAACATTACGAGAGGGTCAGTCCATATCTTGTTACCTGTATTACTTGTCAAGAAAATGCAATACAATTAAAAGTGGTCTGAAAATACCATACTTCAGAACAGGTCAGTGGATTAGTGAAATACTACCATTTTGACAGTCCAATTGTGGATTTACAACTACTTCCAAATTTTCAGGAATCTCTGCATCTTGGGGAATGTCATGAATTTTCAAAAAGTTATCATAATAGGGCCATTTATTGTTGCCAATCTTTCCTCCAACTTTCAATGCAGTATTTATGAAAAAGTTATTCATTTGATCAAATTTTGATCGGCAGAGGTCCCAAGAGATTTTAATATGGCCCTTATCATGAAGCGCGGTGGCGATATTTTTCCAGACCTGAAGAGGAGTGTCTGGGAATTGTTGGACTCCATCCTTCCTTGCCACACATTCCCTGACAAAATCTTCATCAACTGTGGCACGCCACACTAAGTCCTTTTGAACAGGCTTCCTCCGGGGACTTTTGGCAGGACCAGCAGGGACCACAACACGTCCAACTGGAGGCAAACAAAAAAAAATACTCTTAACACCTGATGATTGCTCATGTAACGCAAGAAACAGATCAGAAAAAGCACCTACCAACAGACTTATATTTCTTTTTGACAGGGGTTTGCGGTGCACTATCAGTAGCTGGAACTGTTTGCGGTAAGCTGCAGTTCAAACCACCATTAACACCTGCGCCTCCAGCATGATACACAAATTGAATCTTGCAGTTTTTCCAATTCTCCTTTCCTCTCCTGTTTTTCGGCATGCAAATGGGGAAGAGAGAAGCAAGGGAGTATGAGGCGATTTGTAACAGGGGCGATTCGTAACAAATGCGTTTATTAATTTGAGTGGTGGGAGCAGAGGAAAATCTGAGTATGGCCCCTCTTTCGCTTCAAGTACAGGGTCATTCAACAATCGAAGCGGATGTGATCGGTGCTCAGGTATAGTTTTGGAGGGCGTCTGAAATATAGGGTACACAGAAAACAGACAAATCTTTTATTTTGAGTTCTAGGAAGTTTCTGTCTGAGGCTCTCCAGGTATGAATCACCATCGAAGTACCGTTGGGGCCTTGAAGCGTGACCCCTATGTAACCACGTGGCATAAGTTGCTTTTACTTTGTCCAGTGATAGTTAGGGATGTATTTCTTGCGTAGCCGGCATTTGGGGTGATTCGTGACAGACCCGTATAAAAACAAGAATTTAAGTAGTTTTTGCAATAAAATGCTTGAATTATTTCTCGAATCATCTGCTGCCTAATTCCAACACATTTACACAGCTCAAAGTGCATTGTAAAGCGAGTTATTCTATTCTTTCCTCCAAAATTGCAAAAAATGAGGTTAGGGTTGACATAGCCGGTCAGTTAATGCTGATGCGGTCAATGGCAGCTTGTAATGTAGATTTTAAGGCGTCTGCAGGACATACGAAGAACAAGTGCTAGAGGAGATAACATTCCCGACGATGTTTCATTTAATGTGTAGGATGTTATGAAAAGCCCCATGGCTGTTACAAATCACCCCATGCTGGGCCGATTCGTAACAGCATGCAAGGGTTTGGAAAGCGTCTTAGATTTCAAAGATAACGGACTCCAGATTGATCCAATGGAGCTGCACAGTCTAGATGAAGGGCCAGACTGCTCAACTAGCACAAGTTTGACACCGATATGCAGAATGTTCTTAATTTCGTGTAGAGAATTCCAAAATCTGTTACTAATCGCCCCATACTCACTTATATTCATAAATTTATGTCTCACATGGTAGTCAATAGGTGCATCAGAACAGCGTTACTCACGAATAGATTTCTTGGATTTCGGATGCAGGATATTCTCATGCACTGTCGAACCACCAACATCAGAATCTGCATAATCAAAAGAAATGCTGGTGAGTCAACCGAAATTTCACCAATCAACTGGCAAAAATGTATAGTACAACATACCTAAGCAATCATCATTAGACTTTTCCTGCTTTATTTCTGGGGTAATAAATGTTTCCTCAGAATCAGATAGCACAATCACATCAGATTCACCTCCTTTACTGAAATCTTCAAACAATGGATCTGTAATCAAGTATGGGAATACAACAAATGTTCATAGCAATAGCATTACTTTATGAATAGCAAAATTGTCATGAATGCATTACAACACACCCGACCAACTGTTGTTATTGATCTCTGACAATGCCTGTACTTCTTCTTGTAAAACAAAGGATTCCTCAGTATCAGAGAGCACAACCAGGTCACCATCATTTGTATCCCTGTCTGAAGAATTGTAATCTGTAATCACAAGAAATTATTGAGCGTCAGTTAATTAATCACATGGCAAGTACACGACATAAGTATTCATGCCAGGAAAAAATTTAAATCCACATTTTAAAAAAAGGTACCTGCTTGAGCACTGAGAGGAAACAGTCCCCTCCGGACAATTGTTTCAGCAGGAGTAGATGTGAGTGAGGGACATTCATTTTCAGAAGACATTGACTTAATAGATCCACCGTTGCCTGTTAGAAAAATAAAATTGTGCACTAAACAAAATTTATTACTTTATACATAGCATAATTATCACAAATGAATTACAACACACCCGACCAACTGTTGTTATTGATCTCTGACAATTCCTGTTTAACTTCTTGTAAAACAAAGGATTCCTCAGTATCAGAGAGCACAACCAGGTCACCATCATTAGTATCTCTGTCTGCAGAATTGTAATCTGTAATCACAAGAAATTATTGAGCGCCAGTGGTGATTTTGTGAATAAAGTACATAAAGATTTCTCTTACCCGCTGATAAGTTCTCCAGAGTGGTGAAGTCTTCAGCATCAATAAGTAGGGTATCTCCAGGCCTTGTGTGGCTCAGCACTGCTGAGAGATAACTCTGGACTTGACTATTTTGGGGTGCAACAATCTCTTTTGATGCGAGATTGAACTCTGCAGCGTGACCTTCAAAAATTGTTTCTGCATTTGTCACATTTCCATGACATATTGTCTCACTAGATCCACTATTTCCTGTAACAAGAAGAATAAAGAAGTTAAACTTCAACAAATTCAGTGGTGTTTTTACAAAAGAAGACCAGAAACATTACTCCTACCAGGTGGCAAGTTCTCAAGAGTGAGTACACTGGCCGTCAAAATTTAAGCCCCACTTTTTCCTTTTCTTATAACTCTTGCTAGAATTGAGCTATAAACTTGAAATTTTGAGGAGAGGTGGGCCAAAGTGTTGGGTAAACGTCCCCAAAGTTTCAACAACGAAACCCACCCCTATCCGTCTTTTTCCATCCCTCCCGTAAAACATTGTCAAATTTTGACACTTTTGTAGGGTTCAAAATGGCCTTCCCGTTGTTACAGAGGGTTCAAACTTGCTGAGTCGACTCAAACCACCCCCTGCAAGGGATGATTCTTTAGGACCTTTTCCAGGTGGTCAGCGTGGTAGCGGGAGGTCCCCTGGACACGACAAAAGTGTTTCCGTGTCCGTGGCACTCTCCAGGGGGTGTCCACCCCCTAACGACTGACCCCCCAAAATCTTGTTTTTTTCCCTAAAACCACCAAAAATGTCAAAAACTGGGCCCAAAAGCAAGAAACACGATTGATTTTAACCGCCTGAATCGATTCCAGACGAAAAAACTGCACATCGTTGCTTAACAACGTTTTGGCAGGGGGTGGAAACCACTTACGCCCCTCACCCCTTTTGAAGGGGTTGGGGGCCGCCGGCGGGACCCCGTGTTCGCGGTACGATGGAGGGGTCCCTCGGACAGCTCCACACCAAATTTGAAGTGATTCGGTCCATTCGTTCCCGTCCGGGGCCCAAAAGACGTTAAATTGTGTCACTTTCAACCCCTAAGTTTGCACCCCTGATTCTCCGTAACCAGGAGGGGCACAACATCCGCTCAGGTGCGCCGAGGAGCGCACAACCTTCCTTGACAAGGGTGCAAACGCCGAAACCCCTTCGACCAACGAGTCAGCCGCCAGAGCGCTCAGAAAATGAGTCGCACTCAGCGTCCAGTCCGAGAGCGGCCGCCGCTCCGCCTGGGCGGTAGGCAGCCACTCGGCTGTCTTGAACGGAAAGTGTCCAATTTTCATTGTTGTCGTTTCTGTGGTTATGACTGAGTGCCGTCGACGGCCCGGCCGGTGTTTCTGTTGCTCTGTCGGCGATTTCCGAGCCGTTTTCTTTGGGTTACGCCGCTCTGTCTCGCAGCGTCGCGGACGCGTCGCGGACACGTCTCATTTTCTGAGCGCTCTGGCGGCTGACTCGTTGGTCGCAGGGGTTTCGGCGTTTGCACCCTTGTCAGGGAAGGTCGTGCGCTCCTCGGCGCACCTGAGCGGATGTTGTGCCTCTCCTGGTTACGGAGAATCAGGGGTGCAAACTTAGGGGTTGAAAGTGACACAATTTAACGTCTTTTGGGCCCCGGACGGGAACGAATGGACCGAATCACTTCAAATTTGGTGTGGAGCTGCCCGAGGGACCCCTCCATCGTGCCGCAAACACGGGGTCCCGCCGGCGGCCCCCATCCCCTTCAAAAGGGGTGAGGGGCGTAAGTGGTTTCCACCCCCTGCCAAAACGTTGTTAAGCAACGATGTGCAGTTTTTTCGTCTGGAATCGATTCAGGCGGTTAAAATCAATCGTGTTTCTTGCTTTTGGGCCCAGTTTTTGACATTTTTGGTGGTTTTAGGGAAAAAACAAGATTTGGGGTGTCAGTCGTTAGGGGCTGGACACCCCCTGGAGAGTGCCACGGACACGGAAACACTTTTGTGGTGTCCGGGGGACCTCCCGCTACCACGCTGACCACCTGGAAAAGGTCCTAAAGAATCATCCCTTGCAGGGGGTGGTTTTCTTTCTGGCTCAGGAACGGCGCGTCGTACAGGGGTGGCTCTGGTCTTAATCGAAAGAGGACGTCAAAATGAGTCGACTCAGCAAGTTTGAACCCTCTGTAACAACGGGAAGGCCATTTTGAACCCTACAAAAGTGTCAAAATTTGACAATGTTTTACGGTAGGGGTGGAAAAAGACGGATAGGGGTGGGTTTCGTTGTTGAAACTTTGGGGACGTTTACCCAACACTTTGGCCCACCTCTCCTCAAAATTTCAAGTTTATAGCTCAATTCTAGCAAGAGTTATAAGAAAAGGAAAAAGTGGGGCTTAAATTTTGACGGCCAGTGTAAGTCTTCAGTTTCGATAATTAGCGTATCTCCAGACCTTGACCAACTCTGCTCTGCGGTGATACTACCCACTACCCTCTGATGGGACATTTTGATCTGGTGCGACATTCTGTTGTGGCGCAAGATTCAGCTCTGTCCGAACACTCGCTGCTCTGCTGAAATTGAAGATGAGTTGGCTCCAGCTGGCATACCTTAATATGAAAGAACAAGTATTAAAAATATGTAACCAATGCCTACTATCGATATGTACACATAGTGAGGCTGCTCACCATTCAAGTAACTGTTGAAGGAACCAACACTGAATGTGAAATCACCTTCATCCTCATCCTCCTCAATAGGCTTTTCAAAGATGTGAATCATTACCTCAGTGAAAGGCCATTCTGTCTTCCTTTTACCATTCTTCACATCCCTCAACGTTCTTTTCATGAGCCTTACCTTCTCAGCAATTTGATCTGGAGTGTATACCTCATGTAGGTTGTGGGATGTTTGCATTTTTTGAGAAACTATTTCCCAAACATCGACACTATATCTTTGTGTACGCAATTTGAGTCTGTGGGGCACCAATTCGTGCATGAGGGCCCACTGAGCTCCATCATCCCATGAACCAACACCACCTTCCTTTTTCTTAGGGGCCCTGCGTTCTTCAGCTGCATCAAGAAACAAATTACCGAGACACCCTGACAACAGATAATTCCAGCGGTGCACGCATTATAAACCACACTCACTTGACTGCACCGAATCCTCCACCAGGCTATCCCAAATTCGGTCCGGCTTTCTTCCTATCGTTTTGAAATATTCATGAGACGAAATCTCTTTTCTTCGTCTGAAAATCAAATTGATAGGGCGTGGATACACTAGAATACTTTTAAAACAAACGCCGCCCCTCCAGGAGCGAAATGTCATAAGTAACAGGTGGTTCATAAGGTCATAAGGATACCACACTTACCATTATTTAGGCGATCGACCTCTTCCGGCGACACTTTAATAACGTAAATGCCACCAGACGACATGTCTATCAGCTCATAATCAACTTTTGCCATTGCAGCAATCCAAATTTTCTCGTATCACCAGCTATAGGACTCTAGTACATCCGACAACAATACCCCGTAGAATTTGGCGGTAAACGGCGTTCCGTTTCGCTCGATTTTCGGAGGCCAGTGCGTCCGTCCTTCTGCGCGTGCGCAGAACGTCCCCCTCCACTTTTCACTACGATCCTCTCGCCCCCTCGATCCCTCGCTCTCTTGCTCCCTCGCGAAAGAGCAGCTTAACTAGATACGCCACCGACCCCGGCCGTCTCGGCGCCGTGCCCATTCTATTCTCTATCTCTCTCTCTCTCTCTCTCTCTCTCTCTCTCTCTCTCTCTCTCTCTCTCTCTCTCTCTCTCTCTCTCTCTCCCTCTCCCTTCATGAGCATTTCAGTTCACTGAAATCAAGACTTTCCATTTCCATTCCCACAGGATTCAATATTGGAAGGAGACGCTGTCACTTGAACGGGGTTCCCACTTGAGCGGGGGCTTCATCTGAGCGGGTTTTCGTTTGAGCGGGGGCACAGGGGTGGCTCAGACCTTTGACCGCGTTCGTCAGCTCTACTATTGGCCGCGCATGCGGGCAGACATCAGGAGGTATGTGGAGAGCTGTCAGACCTGCCTGAAGTGTAAGGTGCCGCCGTTCAAACCCGAGGGAATGATGGGCAACCGGCGGGAGTTGAGTGCGCCTCTGCAAGTAGTTTCGTCGGACATTACAGGGAAACTTACAAGATCTTCGAAAGGATATGAGTATCTAGTAGTTTCCTGTTGCGTTTTCACGACATACGTGTGGATGAGGCCGCTCCGCAAGGCGACCGCTGGGTAATTCTTTCCCAAGTCACCCGAGGTCCCGAAATCGATGTCTCGGATTTCGACGAAACTTTGTGGGCGTGTTCCCTATGTAGCAAAGAGCTCCAGAAAAAATTTTCAACTTTTTTGGTCGGTCCAAAAAATTTTAATCACGTATTTTGTAAAAATGACTGAAACCTGTACCAAAAATTTGTTTGTTGCCTGAGGGCGACCTGCCCGGTGGATTTTTCTTCTTTTCATGGTACTGAAAAAAAAGTCCCCGAGAGCCACTTCAAAAGTCACTTGTTCTAGGAGATATGGACCAAAAAATTCGTTTGTCGCGAATACCCAAAAAATGCATCCGAATTTTTTGATGATAATTTTTTTTTTAGTATGGTCCTGTGGTGGTCTATCACCCTTATTGGTTTTGGGTTTGGCCAACGGAAAACCGAATAAAAATTGCGTTTTTTCCGTTTTTTTCGCAGTTTTTGGCCCATTGTATCGCCATTTTAAGTCTGACTTAATGAGCGCCATTAGACTTTTTTTTCGCCTTTTCAAGACGAATCGATTGATATAAGTTGAAGTCAAATCGGAGTATTTTGAAAAATCGCCTTTTTTATACATCTGGATTAGTTGGACCCCAATCGTAACAAGCTAGGGCCCGCCCTTCCGTCGAACCGAGTTGCCAGCTCCGCTTCGCTGCGCCGGCAACTCGGTTCGACAGGGGGCCGGCCCAGCTTGGCCTGCCGGCGGCCTTTTCTCGGGCCTTCGGCCCTCGCATCAGACCCAACTTGGCCAGTCGAAGGCCCGGGCCTTCGGTCCGCTCGCATCACACACCCCGTGAGCGGGTAAAGCACAGTTATCGATGTACCATCGTGACTTAGGCCCGCCCTTCTATTCACAATATGCAATAGTCCTTACACTTTTTACTCCAACTGTCCTTAGAATATGCCCATTACATTTGTCTCTTCGCCCTCATTCCGAAAATACCCATATTTGCCATGGTACTGCAACTCCTTGCAATAGAGGCACAGCATGCTGCAGCAGCAGCGCAAAACGAGTCCGTCGCACTTTTCCCCATAACTCATGAAGCCGGGCTCCTGGACCCCCCTTCCGAGCCCTCGTTGAAGAGGTCTTGCCAAGACCTATCCAAAACTTAAGTAAAAATTTTCAGTCGGTCGACCCCCTTTTTTCAAGATCCTGATGTGACTAATAGACCAGCGGTTCCCAACCTTTTTCGGTTCGCGACCCCAAATTTGTAACAAAAAATTTCCGCGACCCCCAGGAAAAATTTCGCGACCCCACGCGACCCCTCCTTTAGCATGCCTTTGATACAAAGTGCGATAATCCACCTTAGTTTGGGAGCAGTATTGCCGCAAAGTTGATCAAAACGGCCACAAATGTCTTCTAAAAATCGTGTTTTGGGCCGACTTTAAGCAGCCACTGCGTTTGATCTGAGGCGGTATTTCGTCCTCCCTCAACGGGCATTTGGTCTTCGGACCTTCCTTTAGCATGCCATTGTTACGGAGTGTGATTATCTGCCTTAGTTTGGGAGCAGTATTGCCACAAAGTTGATCAAAACGGTCAAAAATGTCTTTGAAAAATCGTGTTTTGGGCCGACTTTAAGCAGCCACTGCGTCTGATCCGAGGCGGTATTTTGTCCTCCTTCAACGGGCATTTGGTCTTTGGACCTTCCTTTAGAATGCCTTTGTTACGGAGCGCGATTATCGGCCTTAGTTTGGGAGCAGTATTGTCTCAAAGTGGATCAAAATGGCATTCAAAGGCATTTTTTACTGTTTTCATCAACTTTGAGACAATACTGCTCCGAAACTAAGGCCGATAATCGCGCTCCGTAACAAAGGCATTCCAAAGGAAGGTCCAAAGACCAAATGCCCGCTGAGGGAGGAGGACATACCGCCTCGGATCAGACGCAGTTGCTGCTTAAAGTCGGCCTAAAACACGAGTTTTCAAAGGCATTTTCGACCGTTTTGAACAATTCCGCCAGCCGGGAAACAGCCGCGACCCCAGGCGACCCCAACCACCTCGCCGCGACCCCTCGAAATTTTTTCGCGACTCCCTTTGGGGTCGCGACCCCAAGGTTGGGAACCGCTGTAATAGACGAAGTCGGGCTCCTGGACCCCCTTTCCGACCCCTCGTTGAAAAGGTCTTGCTGAGACCAATCGAAATCTGCAATATTTTTTTTTAGTCGGTCGACCCCCTTTTTTGAAGATTCTGATCTGGCCAACTCGTAAAAGCGGCCGATGGGGTCGGGACCAGGTCCATTCATCTTGTCTCGTCGCCCCGATTCCAAAAATACCCCTATGTGCCCTGCTAGCACCAATAATGGCGGAAATCCCCCTCCCGCTCATGTAAACCATGATGCACCTGCAGCAGCCCTTGTGCGACCCGGACGGGATTTGCACCACCGGATTATTTGTTTGGACGGTACTCCTGAAGTACCCTCCAAATCTGGTTACTCTAGCTCAACTCCTTCCTTGTACACAGACGCCAACAACAACAACAACAACTACAACAACAACAACACACAGACACAAAGGCAAATGCATAGGCCCTCCCCCTATTTTTTGAATAGAAGGGCGGGCCAAAAAGGGCAATTTTTCAAAATACTCCGATTTGACTTCAACTTATATCAATCGATTCGTCTTGAAAAGGCGAAAAAAAAGTCTAATGGCGCTCATTAAGTCAGACTTAAAATGGCGATACAATGGGCCAAAAACTGCGAAAAAAACGGAAAAAACGCAATTTTTATTCGGTTTTCCATTGGCCAAACCCAAAACCAATAAGGGTGATAGACCACCACAGGACCATACTAAAAATAAATTATCAGCAAAAAATTCGGATGCATTTTTTGAGTATTCGCGAAAAACGAATTTTTTGGTCCATATCTCCTAGAACAAGTGACTTTTGAAGTGGCTCTCGGGGACTTTTTTTTTCAGTACCATGAAAAGAAGAAAAATCCACCGGGCAGGTCGCCCTCAGGCAACAAACAAATTTTTGGTACAGGTTTCAGTCATTTTTACAAAATACGTGATTAAAATTTTTTGGACCGACCAAAAAAGTTGAAAATTTTTTCTGGAGCTCTTTGCTACATAGGGAACACGCCCACAAAGTTTCGTCGAAATCCGAGACATCGATTTCGGGACCTCGGGTGACTTGGGAAAGAATTACACTCTACAAAAAATGTCCTGTCAACGCCGTTAATTTATTACCAATGTTTGCTGTTATGCAATTCACGGCGTTTGCTGTGAACTGGTTCACGGCGTTCACTGTGATCTCGGTTACAGTGTTCTTTGTGATCTGGCCACAGTAAACGCCGTGAATTGGAGCCTGATTTGCAGAACTTCGGTGCTCAGCGGCGTCAAACTCACAGTGTTTACTGGGGACCAGATCACAGTGAACACCGCGAACAAGATCACAGTGAATCCCGTGAGCAGTTCACAGTAAACGCTGTGAATTGACCTACAGTGAAAACTGGTAATAAATTAACGGCATTTACAGGACATTTTTGGTAGAGTGTACCCCGCTGCCGCAGTCGTTGTGCACCTCGAGGAAGACGTCTTCCTGAAGGCAGGGGTTCCCGGGACCATTCTGTGCGACAATGGCTCGCAATGTAAGTGCGCCGAGTTCTATGAATTTTGTGACAAGTATGGGGTTAAGATTCTGCTCAATTTCTATTACCACCCGCAGTCGAATCCGGCGGAGCGCGTGAACCGCGTCATCAAGACCGTGTTGGCGGCCTTCTTGAGGGAAACAGCTAACCACCGTTCTTGGGCTAAGAATTTGCCGTACTTGAACAATGCCTTGAACACGGCGGTGCACGAGGCCACGGGCTATACGCCCCACAGGTTGATGTTCAAGGAGGGTTGGCGTGGTTCGGGTAAACTGGGCGGGGTGGAGTACGAGGGTTCGCCAGGCCACCCCTATACTGGCCAGCTGTGGAAGCAGTCCAAGGTAAGAACTGAGACACTTAACCTGTGTAATATCTGGTAAATTCACCAGTAATGGAACACTTTCCTTTTCCTTTTCATTCAGCTGCTGCCAAAAACATAGCAGTACAGAAAAAGTTTCCTGTCAAGGACTCTCAAATTGTCAATCATGAGATAGTGACTAAGCAGTCCGAATTAAGAGCTGCTGCGAACTTCACTGCAAATCCAAAGGCAATACTTTTGGTACCTTTTTTAGCGATACAATTGAGTATCGCCTATGAACGGCCTTACGGAAAAGTATTGCCTTTAAAACGGCGATACACAAAAGTATCGCCAAAATTTGGCGATACTTCGGAGTATTGCCACGATTTGGCATTAATCGTTGAACAAAT